CACATCGTATTTTCGTAACTGCTTTGTAAGACCTAAACTGCTCTGCGTGGTTGATACTTCTGGAAACATTTTTGAAAAAGGCTCGTATATGAACTTGCATAAAATATGCTTTCCACGTATTGATAGGCATCATCCATGGATATTATTTATGACCTTTATCAACCAATCCCGGTATTGCCATGCCATTAATTATGTATTAACAAATACTGCATATGTGCCTGAAAAACATATTTAATGTCTCATTTGGCAATAACACAGAATGGGTAACGATAATTCAATCGTTTGGAACAGAATGGTTTTCACAATGTCGGTGTTGAAGCTTAGAGGGAAATATGGCGTATGCATAACCGTGACCTGGAAATTAGGGGAAAGAACACTTGTAATGTTCAAACAACATTTTCGAATCAGGTAATATCGGAAATAGGAATTATATATGAGATACTTATTATATAGTTTAGTTAGTTATATATAAGATATTTCGTCAGGCTAATCTCATACAAGGTAGCGCATAAGTTAAGACAAACAGAGAGTTAAGTGAGCTGACTCAGCGTTTTATTGTAAAAGTTAGTAGAGACGATGTGATCGTAGTGCAACAAATAAAATCCGTTCATCCATTCCTCTATCGGTACTAACTTCAATTAGGTGAAATATCAATATTCGACATAGGGAATTAGTTATATACACACACGAATATCTGGCTATTGCGGAAAATTGTCTGGAGTTACAGGGAATTACGGTGAAATACGTGGTGTTGAAGATATTGTAACACCCTGAATAGGGCGGTAGGTCACAAACAGCTATAACATAAGTGCAGTCACCGTTCTTGGCGGTTACGTCACCAAGGTCATATGAAATAAGTAAACAGATTGAGTCTCCGTACCATCGGCGCAGACTAATCTTCATCGCATCTGCTACTCTCTCCAGTAAGCATGAAATGGGTAACAGAGGGGATCGCTGTTTTTATTCTCTTCCTGAAAATACTCTAATAAATTTGGCACGAGCTTTCGGCCTTTTCCATTTATCGGATTTCCGGGCATTGTACAATTTTATATTGAAGATTGAGAAGAGGATAACTAAGAATGCACGCCGATGTTAAGAAAGTAGTCACTGTGACAAATATGATTATATGATTGAAGGGCACTCATACGTAAAGACAGTTTTCGAGACGGAGACACACAACTAAAAAATGTATGCCTTATAGCTTACCGAATAAACGTTCACACACACGGGTAGGTTACATGTGTATGTATGAGGACTTTCTTCAATATCATCTAGTTTCTGGTAATTTATTATTGTTTCATAGTTCTTTCTGTACAGAAATTCCTTTTTTTCAGACGATATTGTACATGTTACCATACGTCGATGCAAATTATTGCTGATGTATCAACGAAATTCTCCTTTAACTACCTAACAATATGATCTGCTTGGAGTACGTGTTGAAGGGTTTCCTGATAACCTGATGATATTCCTTGACTGTTACACTTTTTGCAAAATGTCGAACATGTTTGTTGGTATGTTCTACTAGTCGATAATGCAATTTTGATTTCCTTACTACCTACTTCTTGAGCTACCTACTTCCCGAAATAACCATGAAGTTAAGAAACCTGCAGAGACAGGTTTAAGCAATGACATTTTTTTCAACCATACGTAGCAATGATCAAAAGGTCGAAAACATAAAAACAAAATTTAGCTATGGTTGTCGCCAATACACCGATAGTGAAAATGTCGCTTACTAGATTCCACTAAAGCGGATTCATTTGTTCTAAACACAACGTGGTTACGAGAACGCCAACACACAAACAGACCAAACGACAAGCGGACCAACAAAGGTAAATGAAAAAAACTTTTTATTATCTGACATCTGATATTGATGCTCAACTCGTCTAAGAATAATCATTAAGCAAGTTATAATGCTGTACTTGATTTCGCACGCATGCTGAGCCTTAAAAGATTATTGAAACAGTACTTCCAAAATCTTCAAATATGCAGCGCCTCTGCAAAATTAAAAACACGATGAAAGAATTGACAGACGCACCGATATGGCTATCATGGTTGCATGTTCGAGTCCCACCGAAATCATATTTTTGTTTCTATTTGTATACAGCAGTTATTGTTTGAATTAGGTTTTTGCGCAAATGATTAAAGATATGTACAAGGTCTGTAAATTAAGTTCAAATATAATTACAATATTTTTTATCGTCACCCACAAAATAACTTCCTTCTGAAGCCAGATAGCGCTGCAGATGGTTCTTCCACTCCTCGTTGCACTGCTGGGACTCCGGTACTAGAATAGCCTTCAGCTAGTTGGTTGCAGCCGCTTGAATGTTTTGGACTGTCCCAAAATGAGTCCCTTGAAGAGATTTTTCAGGGAAGAAAGAAAAAGTCACAAGGACTCAAACAGGCTGATTAGCCACAGGAATGTTTTTACTGGACAAAAACTCATTTATTGACAGAAACATTATCGTGATGCTACACCCAGTTGTACTTGATCTGATGAACGGTGGTGTAAGAGAAATTTAACTCTACTCCGATCATTCTGACTGTCAACCGACAATCTGAACGCACAAGATCCCGAATTCTGTAGATATTTTCATCAGTTCTTGAAGATGAAGGCCTTCCGCTTCATCATTCATCTTCAATCGACTGTCTTCCTTTTAAAAATGCTTAAACCACCGAAAAACCAGTGCTATTAATCAAACTTTATCTGCTGAGGGTTAGCTAGAGTTTCCGTTACACTATGCCCACGTCTTAAGCAGAACCTGATATCACACCGTTGCTTGAAATTAATGTCACTCGTTTTTAGAACAGAATAGGAAAAACTGTTTCACAAGAACAATCGCTACGGACAACCAAATGACTCGAGCCAGTTCAAACTCGTACTTAAGGCGGACTACATGTCTCCCCTCTAGGCCCGCCTCAAGTGTTGCCGGATCGAACGCTACGTTGCCAATCCCATCTCTTAATTTACAGACCTCGTATGTAGGTTTAAGTAAGTAGGCTTTTATTGTGTTCTGCGTTCCGGGTGCCACCCAACGAACAATTATCATAACAATTATCACTCCTATTAGAGTTGCAAGAATGACTATACAGTATTCCTTACACAGCATTGTATACTGTAAGAATGTTGGCAAAACCCTCTTAGAACAGTTATACAAGCGGAATAGGCACACCTAATAGGACACTTCAGTCATTTAAGAGGTTGTATAAGGGCTGCAGGTAACAGTTATACAACAAAAGCGTAAGCCTCTTGCAGCCGCTATAGGACATTTGCATCAGTGCAAGATTCAGTTTTTGTCAACTATACAACTATTCTGTTACGTGATTCTACTTTATTGCAACCAAACTATTTCTTGTGCCGGAACCGCAAGCTTGCCATTTGCCACAAACTCCAAGCCCCTACAAACGCTTGCCTTTTTTTTGAAGAAGTAACGTGGCCGTCCACACGTTTGCGGGTACGTCAGTGAAAAGGCTTCAGGCAAACATGACGGACGTCGAACTTGTGTCTGCCGTAGCATTTGGCTTAAGCATTTTTTATTATAAAACAAAAAAAAACAGTCAGATAAAACGAAAAGTACTACCAAGAAGGTGGTGGATGTTAAATATTCATATGAATTGTACCAGGTACTTGTTTTAATCAAATTGATATATAGTTCCAAAAATAGTACCTATCACATCCAAAATTTAAGGGACTGACATTATGAGTAGTAACATTTGTGTTTTTAATTCAATAGGCATTAACTAAATAGTGATTTACTAAATGATGCGCTAAGGCGACTCCATGCGCCAGATTTTTTTTGTTATCTTTGTGATCCGGATGGCCGATTTGCGGCGATTTGGCAAGCGGGCGGTTCCGGTATTATGTATTGTATATACGAAGTGAAGAATATATAACTAACACATTACAGTCATCTTGTTTACTTACATATCGGCCATTGTGAATTTCATACACAGATATATGATAAACGTCTACACTGTGACATGGGCCAATAGGGCTATTGAATTACTTGCGCAGCAAATTTTATTGTGATTATCGTGCACACAGGTTACGCAATTTCTACGGGCTTCGTATTTGATTCATATTTTAATAATCATCAAATGTAGGTATGTCTAGATTATAAAGATGGAAAACTGATCTTATCTGCGTTAAATCTTCCACAAATCCTATATTTAGACACAATTACACTAAAGTTTATGACTTTATATCTGTAATTTTGAACTGAAACATAATTATTTAATATTAAATAGAGGAATAAATATTTGCCCGATATGGCGGGTGGTTGTGTATAAGCATGGCATCGTCCATGTTGTCTTTAGTTTATTAGAATATTTTGGTGTTGCCTGCAGGAGTCGAATGATTTACCCAGAATTTGTACCAGATCGATATCTTCTGTTTGAACAGTGGATAAAACCTTTTGAACCAATATGCATGCGTTGTTTATCTTAAAACATTGGTTATGGCATTTTAACAAAAATATGACAGCAGAAAGTTAGGTTATGGTGAAGTTGTATACCAACATATTTAGCAACAAACGTATGCCGAGCACGCAGATTTTGTACTACAAATGTTGTAATATTGTTGCATATGTACAGCCTTTAACAGTTACTAAACAACAGTTGTGTAAGTGCTTCCGTTGGTAGCAATTTGTTGGCTAAAGTAGTAAATTTGCACAGCAAAACAACAAGGCTCGGGTTTGTTTTATAAACGTTGCCATGGATGCCACAAGACAACCATTTTGACTAACGTGCAAATATGCCGTATAAAATAGTTGTATAAACGTTTATGCAACAGTTAAACATTTGTCCTATAAGAATATTTTAAACACTTCATTTTAGAGCAAATATGTTCCAGACAGCAAATTTGTATTCCACACAACATTAAGCCAGCATTTTGGTGTTCAGGCAACAACAATAGAGAGCTTTTATGGCTGAACGGTTCCTTTACCAAAAGCTTATAGCACTACTTTGCTAGTTGGGCACTGGCATTATTGAACAAATTAATATCACTTACCAATAGTTGTGATGAGTGTTAGGGAATACAGAAAACTGGAGCTAAAGCTCCACTTATGAAAGTTCTGATAGTAGGTCATGGTCCCAGTGCCTGAAGTTACGTAGCTTGTTTCGGTGTTCCTCAGTATTTTTAATAAGGCCTCCTGGAATACTAGCACCTCTTCTGCTGCCAGCCTGGTCCAATTTTCCCTGTAGATCATGAAATGTATCAATCCATGAACAATTTCATACAGTTATTAGTGATGAAGACAGTTTGATCAAAATATTTGCATTTTTGGTTATACCGGGGGGGGGGGGTACGTACAAGTTTCTTCAATTGTTGGACAATAGTCACAGTTCACCTAATTATCTCACCTGTATAAAATATTCAAATTCTCGGTAATACTCCACAGCCTGTCGACGGTCTCAGTTCGCAACTCGCCAATGACAGTATTGTCACTTTTTGGGTTAGCCTTAGAAGCAGCAACAGCAGTGTCTTGATACAGGCCGCCTTCAAGTGCCATGAATATGAATGCGCCTAATATCGTGTAGCCCAGAACCAAAAAACAAACGCCTAAGGTTGCTAAGAGTGATGTCGATCTGTAAAAATGTAATACACATAATAAATGTTATAAAAAAATCTCGCAGAAACCTTACGGGGAATGGCTCTTGGCTGATTTTTCAAGAACTTAGTACGTTGGAGATCTCAACATATAGGTCAACAATGCCCATGGGCCCAGTTCTTTTTATCTAGTAGTTGCCTAAATACAGGTGACACAAATTGAGTAGTCCGTACTCTATTATAGCGAATTGTAGGTTTGATACACGAAATAGTTGTTTGATATCTATTTACGTTCTCTTATCATCATCTCTGATGACCGCGCGGTGCAGTACCTAACATTGTAGTTCTGGCACATGTGCAGGGTGGCCCCTGGGTGAATGGAGTATTGCTCCGAGGTACAAACTTATCCAAAGGCCAATATTGTCTCTGGGGGATCACACTTAGAACATATAGGGATATGGGGATTATACCATATGTTTCTCTACTGAGATGGGTCTATATGCTTCTGAATTTTGTAGATGTTTTGAGATAACATATACCTTTATCAAATACAGCCAACCTATATCAAGTCCACTTTAGTAGATAGAGTGCAAGTCAACAATTGCGGGATTTTAAAAAATCTTTTAGGGAACAATGATCTATGTGGTGGAGTAAACTCCACAATTGAATAAGTAGCAACCGTAGATTACAGAACACCTTGTTACAAGATTAGTGCTCTGTCAATTGAAATGGCCAAGATACTGGTTACCAAGCTCTCTTTGTTTAAACAAAATACATAATAATTGTCTCAACAACTATTCGTGAAAACTTGTAGGTGAGTCTATCCAAATAAACAATAAAAGTATAGATCTCTATTAAAGAGCAACTTTGTTATACAAGTTATTTTGTACAGTCGTGAACAATCTGTACAGTCATGAATACGTTTGAATTGTATCACCACACGGACAGTGCAGGATAATCCACAACAGTTTTAGAAAAGGCCAGCGCCTTAGAGCAATACTCCATCCATGCGAGTTTGGACAACTTTGTGCATACATGTGCCAGAAATGTGGCTGAACGGGCCCTTAGGGATGATGATAAGAACGTAAGTAAACACCAAGTGGCTATTACATGTTGCACACCAAGCCCACAATACGCTGTAACAGGGTTACACACTGGAGGCCTATGGACACTTTTGTTCTAGGTCTTGAGATCTCTTGAGATCTACAAAATACTGAATTTTAATAACAGTCATTCCCTATAACGTTTCAGTGGAGTCTATTCATTTTTTTGTGCTCTATATACATCCAGAAAAATCATGTCAATCTCTCTTTTTGGTCTGGTTCTCTGCCTGTCTGTCATCAGTCCGGTCATCATTGGCCCTCTATAATGCTGATTGTTCACTAAATGGAGAGTTCTGAGTCAATCTACTGCTAACTAACTAATCAAATGTATGAACTAAGAAAATGTTGGTTTCATAAACAGCCTCCAGTTCACCTGGAGAGATCCGTAGCCTATAAGGCATTGTCATAGTGGTGGTGCTGTTTCTATTTAACACTCAACTTTTTGTTATTATAAACTTATAACGTAACACAAAGATTTTGAGATATTTTACTAGTTCCTTAATTTACAAAAATCAGATTTGAGGAATATTTAAGATTTTCAAACGTTTAAATTGTTATACCAAATGTCAAGGACAAAATGCACCCTAAAGATTTTGCCCCTTCCTCCACGATGACACAAGGTTTTAAGCTATGTACATACAGAGTTTAACTTTATAGAACCTTTTGGGTTATAATAGTAAAATTATCAGTACACACCTGTTCCCAGGACACGTATAGCAACAGCAAAATACGGAAGTGCTGGCAGCAACCACCTGTTGCTGCTGCTCTACGTCCTCCAAATGGGAGTGTCCGTGACCGTCAATTGTGGGTCCGTATTTGTCGTAGCAGCATTGTCGACGGTGATTGGCTGCCGAGGGGCTGCCAGGTGGAGAGACGCGCCTCTGGTAGGCGGAAGGTGATGAGACGACAGCCGGCGGGCGCATGGCGTCGACGCCTGGACGGCGTTAGGGCGGGGTCAATAGTGTCATTGCCACGCCCTCCATGAGCGCCGCCCTAGCAAGGGTAGAAGGCAGAACATTGACGAGTAAGATGAAAACGTCTATGGGAAAACAGGCATCTGAAAAAGAAATTAAATATTAATTTGGTAATTCAAGAAAATACGGTGAGGTGAAATGGATGCGGGTATTGCATTTTGGCATAATGGTGTAAAATCTACTTGCATTTACTTAAATTTACAATTAACATATCGATTGCGCCACCGTTTTTTCTTATATCTCTTCGCACTTTACCTTCATTCATTCCGCTTGCTTATGAAAGAAGAAAGGATTATGTGAAGCTGAAGAAATCCAATATCAAAATGAGCACGTGTGTAAAGCGTTAAGTCTTACGAGTTCCCCATTTTTTTCTCTGCGCATATTATCTTCAAGACACCCCTATGCGGCCTACTGCAGCCCCAAGACACCAGCTACAAGGTAAACATACCATAATCACTTCTATTGCAAGTGTATTTTCCGCATGCGCGAAGTGGGATACAGTTCCAACAGTCAACTTGATGTTTTCACCGTCGCAGTTTTCTTATTTCAATATGCTATTGTTGAGCTATCATCGCCAAAGGGACAAAATACTGTATTGAGTTTCCAGTGAAAAAAAGAGCAAGCCCAGTATGGGCTGATTCTACCACTTTAAAAGGTCCGTTCGCAGGTTATGCATTCAGTGGACGATATTCTTGAGGTAAAAAGGATCCAAGAGCTTCAATATCCATTCATGCTTTTTACAATTATTGATAATCCGTTGCTTTTAACTTAGCAGAAAGGAACAAGTGACTACTGCCATTTGCTTAAAGACCTTTTCGATCACGACGGTGTCTGGTATAATAAGTGCTTGTTATGGAAGTCTAATTCCGACGTTAAGATTATGCAAGAGACTGAGTCGAGGTAATTCTGCTGAACGGGAGTTCGCTTACAGCCCGGATAACATGCCAATGACTACAACAAAGAAGAAACTGAAAAGGTGTAAGACACCTGCCTCGAACTGCTGTTAGCTCTTGTAGATTCTAAATGTAATTACTGGAGGTTGTAACAATAGCACTAAAGCAGAGCATTTCCATGTAAATTCCGGTTAGCAGACTCCGTAAGATGATTATATTTACAGAGAATTTCAAAGCTTCTCACTAACAATGTTTAGTAATATTTCCTATTTTCTGTCGAACAAGAAACGTGCACTGGAGTGTTGGTATCATCACAAGCCTTTTACATTCAAAGGCAGTGGTAGCTCCCCGCTCCACGTTTGTGTAGGCGAACAAAGCCGGAACAGTTATTTTGCCTTTTTTTTGACTTCGGTCAGAAGACATGCAACATAAAAAATGTCGAACAAGATTACTATCGTATTTTATATATTTTCATTCTTCTTCATCAGCGATCATACAAATACACTGTTCTGCACGAAAATAATCTTCTCCAAACATATACGTTATTTCGATATGTTCTACATATTCAACCCTTACGGCGACCTGTGCGATATTTACGTTTCTATATCATGATGGGGTACTACGTTGCCAAATCTACGTTTTCTCTTAGTCTAGGGAAAGTATGCACAGTCTGGAAACACGGCATCCGTTGGTATCTGGGAATGTCCCTCATCTACGAAGTGTCAATCCCCTACGGCTTCAAATATAGGAAATACCGATTGAACACCATGTAATTCCAGATTTCACTATACCCTATAGTCGTCGCATACTTACTTATTGAATGGCTTTTGCATACACAAACGGTTTCCGATCTCTTGATTCCCGTTGTTTCTAGAAAAGATCAGATATTCGAAGTAGGTATATAAGCAGCCAGCCGCTTGTCGGAGGATCAGCATTACAGTATTTAGCAGTGGATATAACGCCGTTGCTATCCTGTGTGAACCATCCGAACATTTTCTGTTATATTTGTGGTGGGGTGATACTGCAAGCTCAGCGCAAAACCTTGGGTCTTGCTAACAGATTATCTATGGTATATACACCATAGAACAATTTATGGTTGCGGTCGGTCGGGTTTAAATATGTACGAGAAAGAAGCAAGGGAGGTGTCCAACACGTATGTTAGAAAAAGTTAGAAATAGTGCTCCAAGACCTTCCTGGCTGCCATCGTCAGGTAACGTGGTGATCTCTTGAGGGCGCACTCTTTCTAATAGATATTTTGCATGCGACTCCCTTCCTCTCTCGTACACATTAAAACTCGGCCGACCTCAATCGCGAGTGATTCGCACGGTATATATTGTACGCTATATAATTTTTGTAGATATTGCTATGATAATTGTTTCCATGAGAGATAAATATAAGAAAAGTTAATATTTTTGACATTTCACCGACAAGAAAATACTCATCATGTTTCGCTCCAGGGTGTGAGTAGTCAGGGTGCAAGCTCATACTACAAGTCGATCAGGCTTAAAACTCAAGTTTATATTCGCATTTTTCTGCAGAAGCTTATAAAAGTGCATGAGTTTCATACAATCCCAGGGTTCCTGATAAATGCCGAAGATGGTGAAGGATGATTCTTTGGAAAGCAGCTTAAACTGGATGAGAGTCGACCTTTTCACAGACAGATAGTAATATATTCTAGTCATCGGCGTTGCGAAAGGGCATCTAGGTCAACGTTGGACTTTTACCTGTCCTAAGGTGAATTTGATTTTAGTTCACTCCACTTCTTGGTTCTTTGTGTGCTCAGTCTGACAACCATCTTCCGGGATCCCGATAAATTACCAAACGGGTATCATGTAAAAAACCTATAAAACGTCAAAAAAACCTATAAGATGTCAACTTGCAGACTAGGTAGTTTTTAGGGCGCAAGCAGTCGTTCCACGTTTGCTCACTAGGATCGTTGTGAACGTCCATCTATGGAGGAATCACTCAACTAAACTACGCATTATTGGTTGCATAGTTTTGTGAGGCTGAGTGATCCGGGTCTGTAGTTTTTATCTCTGAGAAGAATGTTGGTTGAATAGCAAGATCGCATCTGGATGATTATGTGTATTGATCTGCAGGTGTATAAAATCAGTGATATTTGCTGTGTGAGAAAATCATTACTGAATATGCCGAATATGACGGGTTATTTATATGTTGTGCTTTCTGAAGAGAGGTTATATTCAAAGTTATAAATTACCATAAACTGAATAGAATTACGGGAAATCATCACCGCACCCGCGTTGTGTGTAATTACTTGTAATTCGATAGTGTACAGTGAATATAACTATTTCTTTTCTCTCTCATTTTTGAAATTCAGCAAATTTGTATATGTAATTTCCAGAATGGATAAGAAGAAGTGGATGCACAACTAGTTTTTAGCTTTGAATCTCAATTAAGTGTATTTGAGACAAGAACCCAATATAATTATCATCATCACATACAACTTACAGTTTAGACCTCCAGTAATGCCATCTCAGAAGCAGATTTTCCATCACATTAGAGCCAAAGATTGATAACAAGCCTCATGACGTTTAGGCAACACGTACAACTAAGTGCTTAGTTAATATCTTGTAGAATAACCTACATAATGTCAAAAAAACAGCATAATGTCAAAAAAAATCAGCATAATGTCACTTTTCAAGATACGTGATACCCGTGCGGGTTTTATGTTAATTAGTCTAGTTGCTCATATTCGTTTTTTACAACCAATAAAGTTCCGTAATCTGTATCTCCGTCGTTATTGCTAACTTCCACGAGAAACCCTGAGCGATATTGTACAAGCTCGGATCCACTTCAACCTGTGAACGCAAAATATGGGAGACAAAACAAGTCTTTTGGTTGATACTGAAAGGGGTCAACCGAAACTTCAACTTTGAGTCTTATCAGCTTTACGTTTGAAATCTAAAAAGGAAAAACCTATTAATATTGAATTAATTGAACTACTAAATATTTTCATTGGATGAATATAGGGACAATCATATTCCTTTTCACCCAAGAATCTACTTTGATCACAAGAACTACTTAGAAAAGCAAAGTGGAATTCAAGCAAGAAGGTCAATCAACAATCAACAAATTGACTGAAATTGATTACTTATGCTGTGCCGTTAATAAATATCCACATTTTTTTGTTAGCCTAGTTTCCAAACAATCACTGGGCGATTCACATCGCAACATAGATAATATTCTAGTCTTGGTACAACCAGTATGACTGGCTACATGAAGATCTTCTCCACAGAAAAAGTGTACGCTGATGTATTGGCTTGTTCCTGTGGTCTTCAACGGCAGGTAAACTAGGCAAAAGTATTCACTAAAACTAAGCAATTTTGGCGACAATCGATGCAATGTAAACATACAGGCTCCTTCCGATCTATTTGTGGCACGGCTTGGATAGTGGTTGTCTGGATTACTGGATGCCACCAAATGATTCAGTATGTGGCATCACTGGGTGCACATGTACACTGATTTTTTTTCAATTATCCCAATTAAAATTCTAATTAGGCCAATTGAAGAATATAGTTAACTATGTGACAGCTAATCAAATCAAAACGCAATAGTTTAATTAAATTTATTAAACCATTTACTTAGAGTGATTTAATTAGCTTGGGTAAAAGTGTTTGTCTAGTTTCAATGAATTATTTTATTTAGATTTAGAAGGATATTTGGATAATATTTGGAAATTAAAAGCACATTACATTTTACTGAATGATTGTATAACTGTGCTCTAACAAATCTTAGATACCAGAAAATTTGGAAAATTTATGTATAAACGTATATTGATAGTTAATGCTTTCGAATCAAAATGAAAACTTTAGAATCTTATAACCCTAATAAAATCGATTTTTTTTCGTTTTCGTTGATTGTGAACTTATTATATATGGGATTAAGTCTTAGCAAATATTTGTCTGCTTCTCCGGAAACAGGTTACAGTATATTACCATTTGCTAGAACCAACTCTTTGTTTTGAGTAAGGTCACTTGATCATGTGTACCAAAATTGTACCTTTTTTTTCAGTAATAAAATAATATTGCACTCACCCGTATTCAACGCATTTACATATACTCGTATAAATAAATTCGACAGCGCTTTAAACAGACTCGGATATTTTCAAATAGTACAAAGTCAACACCAACCGGGGGCTCTACTTCTAATATATACTTTATATAATATAA